GTCGAGACACTAAAATCGTTTTTAGTTTATTAAACGCACTTTCCTGATATTCAGTCCAAACGAATGTTTCATTTTTACGCAGTAATCGACTTAACGGAGCGGCTATTAACGCATAGCCCGGAACAAATTTACGAAAATAACCGCTGAGTCCGAGAAACTGTCTAACTTCGGTTACACCTGTTGGCGTTTTATAATCGCGTATCGATAAAGTTTTCGCTAAACCTGGAGCAATACCATCCGGAGTTAGCTCATGACCCAGGAATTCAATTGTATGTTTCAAAAACTCGCATTTTTGTATATTCAACGTTACGTTTGCTCCGCGAAGAGCACTTAACACTCGATGTAGTTTTTCATACATTTCGTTTATCGTTTGACTTCCGATTAAAATATCGTCCATATAGTTCATCATATCGTCACTCTTAACACTTTCTTTTATTTTGACAATTAATCGCTGAAACACTACAGGTGCGTTTTTTAGCCCAAAAGGCATTCGCTTAAATTCGAATAACCCCTGTGTCGTTACAAACGCAGTATACTTCTGACTATCTCTCGCGATAGGTATTTGGTAATACCCGCTATTTAAGTCTAGCACTGTAAAATAAATGTACTGCTTAGCATTTTGCAGCTGTTCCTCAATATTTGGCATTGGGAAAACTTCTTTACGCATATGTAAATTCAACCGCCTGAAATCAACACACAAACGCTCGCTTCCGTTTTTCTTTTTAACTAAAATCATTGGACTCGCATATTCAGAGTTGGATTTACTAATAATGTCACACTCCAAAAGTTCATTAATCATACCCGCTATAATTTCTTTTTTAGGCTCAGGAACCCTAAATGGTTTCTGCGCGATCGGAACATCAGTATCAAGATCAATTGTCATCTCAACTAAATCGGTTTTACCTATTTCATGCATATTTGTTGCGAAAATATCGCCGTAATTGTTCAACAGTTCAACCAAATCATTTTTAGCACGTAAATCGTCAGTACCGCATTTGAAATCGTCGATATTAAATTTACTATCGCTCGCAAACGTAATACGGCCATCTACGATAACATCCCGCATGTCATTAAAAAGGTCCTGACCCAATAGTACATCCGCCGTTAAAAGTTCGTCGTCTACCACAAACAGAGTAACGAATCGCTTTAAGTTATCAATCTGTAATTGAACACGAATTTTTGCGTGCGCGTATATAACACCACCGCAAAAACCACTTATCTTCAGTGCGCATTTTTCTTTCTCACAGCTTATCTTGTTGGCTATGGTAGCTCTGACCATGCTGCACTCACTACCCGTGTCAATAAATGCCATCAATTGTTGCCCGTTTACAACGACACATTGCTCAAAAATGTTATTCGTGATTATTTCTCGCTGTGCCTTTGTTTTCCTTACTGCCATTTTCTTTTTCCCGCAATTTTCGGGTTCATTTTTAGGATGCACTTTGTCGCAATCTACACACCTTCGCCTGCGTTGTGGTTTCGGGCATTTACTCGAAACATGTCCTTTTTCTTGGCAATTGTAACAAATGATTTGTTTGCTTTTATCACCCTTATCGCTTACGCTTGTCTCACTTTCAGTGGATTTTTCATATTTACCCGAACGCGTCGGAATGTTTTTTGTATAATCGGTTATTGTTTGGCGGAATTCGCGCAATGTTTTAAAACGAGTAGTTGCCATCGCCACTTGTAGTTCACGATGTTTCAACCCATCTCTAGCATATTTCACAATTGCAGACTCACTTAATGCATACCGCTTTCCTAACGCACTCACACGAAAACAATAGTCCAATAAGTTTTCATTTGGCCTACGCACTGCCTGACTCATTTTGTAGTGTATGTCAGCTTCATCCGGAATACAGCTGAACTCTTCACACAAACTTTGTGATAGTTCATTCCAATTGGAGTACAATTTGTCTGCCGAATTGAACCAAAGTTTTGCGGCGCCTTTGAGTCGACTATACACAGCCAACAACAAGCACTTTTCTTCCCACTTATAGGCACTGATCGCACCATTCACTCTATCTACGGATTGCTCGACGGTGATCGACGAATCGTTCGTTGGATCGAAGTCCGGTATCGTCTCTGCAATTTCTTTTACAGAATAATTACTTTTATTTGCACTTGTACTTGGTGACTCTAAGCGTGTTTGTTCCGCATGAGAGTTTGAAATACTCGCATTAACACTAATTGGCGTATTTATGTTCGACTGCATCAGCTGCAGCACCGAGCTGAACATTTCGCGTAACTCGTTTATTTGACATTGCACATTCGTTTGAGTAAAATCGATCACGTCCGCACCAACAGCTTCACTCAGTCGCAAAATTAGTTCATTTTTATGCCCTTCTGTCTCTAGATTTCTTTCGCTAAGCAGCTCTTTTATTTCGGACAGCTTTAAACTGCTAATTTTCACTACCGGCATTTTGATTGTTTACGTTTTTCTTTTTGTACAGAATTCTAATTAGAATTCAATTCGCTTTTGTTTTGCTTATTATTTCTAATGTCGCACTATGCTATTGCATTCACACTTGCATGTTTTCGCAACCGTTCAGGGATATTAATCGATCGTCCCTTTTTGGCTACGATAACGCTTATGTTCTTGAATATTAGTTCACAATTTTCTTTTGTATCGTTCTTCGCAAATAGAGGATATTATACGTTCATCCTATTCTCGCGTATGACAACTTTACGTTAGATGTTGTATATCGCTGCCGTTCAGGGATATTACTCGATCATCCCTTTTTAACTTATGGACAAATAACGCTCTGCCCGATTTATTTGAATTCAACGTTCAACAAAATTCTCGGAATGCCAGCGGAGCACCGGCGTTGGCCCAGCGGAGTCTCACCAAACCGTTACTCGCGCAATTTCACAATCGCATACGCAGATTCATCCCCTTCTGACCTGAAAGGCTCCTGAAAGGCTATGATGGTACTCCGGTCCAAGAAATGAATGACTCGCACTTAGTAACAAATTATTTATTAGTTCAAAAGTTATTAATTAAATTGATTATTATGTTAATATTTAAAAGAAACACTGAGGCTGTACACGTAACGCGTCGTGGCACACACACGTGCCGCTGTCTCGCAACCCACCAACTTAACTGAAGTCAAAGGGTTGCCAACCTTACAGTTCGGCCGTTCCTGAATCTTCGGAATGACCACGTTCCACTGTCGACGGATCTTCGCTGTTTTCAGAATCGCTGGTTTCGTCATCATCGTACATTTGTGGTAAGGCGCACCACGGTTTCATTTTGTCACTAGCGTATACGGAAGTGTATTTTCGTTGTGTTCGTTGAGATCCAGGAATGTCCTGCACCACATAACGATCGCTGTTTAGTACTTGGGTAATTTGAAACGGACCCTTGTACCGAGGTTCTAGCTTACGTGACATACCTGTGCTTGGCGCCTCATATTCAACAACAACCAAATCGTTGAGGCTATATTTGGTTGGTACTGCGTGCTTTTCATCAAACCGTTGCTTAGCTTTGAGGCGTTCCTCTTTTATGCGTGCTGCTGCTGTTGTACGTAGTTCGTTCAAATTGGCGTTTGATGTTTCATCGTGTTGTAATGCTAGGACGATTTTATTTTTGAGGATATCGCGTGGCTGGAAACCGAAGAGTAACTCTTGAGGTGTACGTGATGTCGTTTTGTTTTTCATACTGTTGATTGACCATTGGATATTTCGAAGTGATTCATCCCAGCGTTTATCGTTGTTGACGGATGGCAAGAGCATTGACATAATGGTTCGATTACAACGCTCAACGATTCCATTAGCTCGAGGCGTTCTCACGGCGTTTGAAATATTTTTTATGTCGTTCTCCTTACAAAAGCCTTCAAATTCCTTGGACGTATACGCCGTACCACGATCAGATATAATGCGTTCAGGCATACCCAAGAAACTGCTGATGTCGTTGAATACGTCGATTACGTGTCTCGTCGCGGTGCTTTTAACTGCACGTATGATAGCAAAACGTGTAAATGCGTCGATTATAATGAGTATATGCTCGTTACGTTTCGCGCTTTTCGGAAATGGACCAAGGTGGTCCACATGCACCGTTCTAAAGGGTATTGGCTCCACATCACCCACGTGAAGCTCACCTTCTTTCTTGCCACCAGGAATTTTGTTGTAGGTGCATTCGATACATGACTTAATATACGATTTCACGAAATTTCGCATACGAGCAAACCACATATGCTCGCCTATTCGTTGAAGCGTTTTCTCTAGTCCAAGATGCCCAGCTTTGTCGCGCGCATTGTGCACAACTTGCCTACGTAAAGCTTTTGGTACCACCCAAGCGTTTTTACCATTGACTACCTTTAACAATCTACCATTATTTAGATGGAAGTCCTTCGTTGTAGATTTGTCCCCCC